GATGGCTGAGCACCCTATGTCTCACATTCTCATACATGTGATCCTAGTCCTGGAGAGATACGAGGTCATGAAGAATGACTGGCTCTCACGTGGGGCCCCTCTGATTGCTGTTAACAAGTGGAAATGGGGTCCCTGGGAGATCCCCCTGGAAGGAACCTATAAAGGTTGTTTATGGTGGGAGATGGGGGCTGAGCATCTCTGCAGAGAGCAGTGTCCTCCTCACCTTGGCCTTTTCCCAAGCACTATAAATGAGGGGTCAAGCAAAACCCCAGATACAGGGCTGGTCGGATACCTGGCCATTTACAGCCAGGCTCCACCTGTGGCCATCTGTTGACCAAACAAGATGGTGGTTTTCCCTATTATCCTCCCCTGGAGCGTTCACTTCCAGTTGGAAGACAGGATTCCTAGCACCTCTGGTGTCAAAGGCTGTCTTGGGGTTGTGCCAAGTATTTACCAAACCTTGAGCCTGTGGGCTTTTAAGTATGAGTGGTAGTCCATGAGCCTTATCTCAGCCAAGTAACCTTTCTTGACAAAAGGAGCGGCTTCCCTCTCCCATCCCTTCTCTTCACTCCACCTTCTTCTTTTCCCCCTGTTCTTCATCCCACTGCTTTCCCATTCTTCTTTTTGGGTGGTGGGAAAGACTGGCTCCCTGCTCAAGGACATGCCCTGGTGGGCATAGGACGTGCCTCTAGCACATTCCTGCCCTGTAAGCACTCCAGGTGGGGAAGTGGACAGGAGCCATTGGCCATAACCAGACAGAATTTGGAGAAGTTTTCCTAAAGCTCCACTGAAAGTTTTATAAGAAATATATGTAACGTGATTTTTTAGAAGAGACTAAAGATTAAATCATGCAACAACCAGAGTATCACAACCAGGATGACCCCTGGGGCCCATTGCTAAGACATGTTACTTTCTTTTTCCCTTGGTAAGACTTACTTTTTGAATGGTCAGTGTCCAGTTGAAGGCAGAACACTAATCAATTTTAAGGCCCAAAACTTGGGGACTAGACCACCTTGTATTGAGGGACCTCTGCCACCTACATTCAGTCCACAGATGAAGTAAATTAAATGACACTACTGCCTTGATTACTCCTTAGGATGTGGTCAAAACAGCATCAAATGTTTCTTCTCTTCCTTCCCCCAAGACAGTGTTAAATTAAGTCATTTAACCTGTTAAATTAAGTCATTGGATTTTACTCTGTTCTGTTTACAGTTTACTATTTAAGGTTTTATAAATGTAAATATATTTTGTATATTTTTCTATGAGAAGCACTTCATAGGGAGAAGCACTTATGACAAGGCTATTTTTTAAACTGCGGTATTATCCTAATTTAAGAGAAGATCGGTTTTTAATAATTTTTTATTTTCATAGGATGAAGTTAGAGAAAATACTCAGCTGTACACACAAAGTCTGGTTTTTCCTGCCCAACTTCCCCCTGGAAGGCGTACATTTTGTTGTTTCATGTGTAGCTTGTTTGTGCCCTGTTGACATAAATGTCCCCTGGCTCTGCTCTCAGACAATAATGGAGAGGGAAGGTTGCCCTGACTCCATTAGGCCACTCTCCTCCTTCTCTATTGCAGTTCCTCAGAAGCCTGCAGAAGTCCTTGACACAAGTGTTTCTTTCCTTCCTTTCCCACACTGACCTCCATCTGGCACTAGCTCCAGAGACAAACAGCACTCTTACATTGCCTTCATCTTCCCTACTTCAGAGAGTCCGCAGCCAACAAGTTGAATGACAATTTGACCTTTTCCATCACCATCTGCCTCAGAGGTCACCTCCTTTTCCTCTGCCCATCAGCTCCTCATGCCTGCAAAGAACCCACTGATCCCCTCATGCCCTTTTTCAGGGCAACCCGTTGAAACTGAAGCACAGTCTGACCACTCACGATAAAGCAGATTTTCCTCTGCTCCTGCCACAAGGTTTCAGAGTAGTGTCGTCCAAGTAGAGGACGGGGCACCCTTTTCTCACCACAAGAAGCCCGTTCTTCTGGAAGTCTAGCAAAGCAATACAACTCAGCCCAGCACTCTGCCCCAGGACTCACGGCTCTGCTGTGCCTTCCATCCTGGGCTCCCTTATCTCCCGTGACCTTAAGAACTGTCTGGTGGCTTTGCTGGAACATTGTCACTGTTTCCACTGTCATGTAGGGAGCCCAGCACTGTGGCCAGGATGGCAGAGACTTCCTTGTCATCATGGAGAAGTGCCAGCAGGGGACTGGGGAAAGCACTCTACCCAGACCTCACCTCCCTTCCTCCTTTTGCCCATGAATAAGATGCAGTGGCCCGAGGGTTCCACTAGTGTCTGGTTTCCTTTATTATTGCACTGTGTGAGGTTTTTTTGTAAATCCTTGTAATCCTATTTTTTTTTAAAGAGAAAAACTTAAGCTGCATTTGTTACTGAAATGATTAATGCACTGATGGGTCCTGAATTCACCTTGAGAAAGACCCAGAGGCCAGTCAGAGGGTGGGGGAAACTCAGCTAAACAGACCTAGTTCCTGCCCTGCTAGGCCAAGCTGTACTGTGAGCCCCCTCCTCATTCTCTTTCTATAAGCCCACAACTTTCCTTCTCCTGCCAGCTGCAGATGGTTTGCCTTGCCTTTTCACCCCTCACTGTCAGCCACAGAATGAGAAACCCCTCTTACAGCTCAGCCTTGAGTCCATTGCCAAAATGTCAGCATACCTGCCAGCAACTTGGGGGATAAGCTAAGGTTTCCCTACGAGAGGGAAAGAAGGCAAAAATGGCATGGCTATCTCCAAAACATGTCTGAGTGATTTGAAGTGACCAAGAGACGTTCTGCACAAAAGTGCAGATTGAGGAACTGTAGTGGGTCGTTTCCAAGAATCCCCCAAGGGGCATCCCCAATCCCTAAGGAGTGACAGCTGCAAACTTGGTCAGCTCTCAGTGAGAGCCAGCTCACTTACCGCCTTGCTGCTAGAACCTGTTGTGGCTGCATTTCCTGGTGGCCAGTGACAACTGTGTGACCAGAAGAGCTGCATGGCACTGACCCTTTGGCCGGAACTCGTCCGCTGGCTCCTTCATTGCTGCCCTTACATCCAGCACAGCCCTTCCACTTTTAGACCAATAGCAAGATTTAAGGGGGAAGCCTTGGCAGCTATAAGTTCACAGCCAGACTCCTTTGCTAGGACCCAGCCTGCCATCCTGCTTACCTCTGTCCACCCCTCAGCCAATGCAGTGAGCGCCATGCAGCATCCTTGATGTAAAAAAACAAAAAATTTAAAAAAATACACATACAAAAAAAAAAAAATATTTTAATGAATGTATCTTTCTCACGGACTGACTTGTTCAATCAAATATCTGAAAATACTAAAGGTCAAAACCTTGTCAGTTGTTAACTTTTAGGAATTTGATTTGGGATTCTTTTTCATAGAAATTAAGTTTTTGTTTTTGTTTTTCTTAAGGAAAAGCGGGTCATTGCAAAGGGCTGGGTGTAATTTTGTTTCATTTCCTTCATTTTAAAGCAATACAAGGTTATTGAGCAGATGGTTTTGTGCTGAATCATGAATACCAGTCAAGTCTCACACTCTGAAAATTTGAAACGTTTGTGTTTTGGTTTTCAAGTAAATATAAATATGATATATATATAGGAACTAATATAGTAATGCACCATGTAACAAAGCCTAGTTCAGTCCATGGCTTTTAATTCTCTTAACACTATAGATAAGGATTGTGTTACAGTTGCTAGAATTGGCAGGAAAATGTCAGGCTCGTGTTCCTCTGATTCCCAAATGGGGAAGCCCAAACTACAAAGGAATGGCAAAACAGGCCATTCCTAGGATCAGAGCAAAATGCAGAAATGGTGTCACCTGGATTTTTTCCTGCCATGAATGTTGCCAGTCAGTACCTGTACTCCTTGTTTCTCTATTTTTGGTTATGAATGTTGGGGTTACCACCTGCATTTAGGGGGAAATTGTGTTCTGTGCTTTCCTGGTATCTTGTTCCGAGGTACTCTAGTTCTGTCTTTCAACCAAGAAAATAGACTTGTGGTGTTTCTTTTATTGAACTTTTAACAGTCTCTCTAGTAAATACAGGTAGTTGAATAATTGTTTCAAGAGCTCAACAGATGACAAGCTTCTTTTCTAGAAATAAGACATTTCTTGACAACTTTATCATGTATAACGGATCTTTTATTTTTGTGGGGTTTTTTTCCTTGTGTTCTTCCAAGCTTCTGGTTAGAGAAAAAGAGAAAAAAAAAAAAGGAAAATGTGTCTAAAGTCCATCAGTGTTAACTCCCTGTGACAGGGATGAAGGAAAATACTTTAATAGTTCAAAAAAAAATAATAATGCTGAAAGCTCTCTACGAAAGACTGAATGTAAAAGTAAAAAGTGTACATAGTTGTAAAAAAAAAAAGGAGTTTTTAAACATGTTTATTTTCTATGCACTTTTTTTTATTTAAGTGATAGTTTAATTAATAAACATGTCAAGTTTATTGCTGCATATGGGTGAGCTTCCTTTTTGGCCTTGGCAGGGTTGGAGAACTTGGGGGAATCTGCAGCCTATGACCTTTTTACAAAGTACCCTCTACAGTGCTTTCTTTGAAGATGGAATTGCTAAAGCATTCTGCAATAACCAGGGACAGGCCCCACCCAAACTGGGCCCTTGACTGGGTTTTCCTCCTTCCTGCAGCAGTGGTGTATGCTCTGGACCTATTGGATTCAGGATATGAGGGAAAAGGTCAAGAGGACCCTGAAGCATGTACATATTACCCCCTTTGTTCGCGCAAGAAGCCATTAATACTTTTCTCCTAAACTGAACAGTAAATTGAAAGCATTTCACCACCTGCTCTTTGCTCCATTCCACCTTAAGGCTGAAATGTGATTTGGGATTTGTGTATTCTGTGCTGAGGGCCAGGTTTCAGTTGACAAATCACTGTAAATAATCTGCCAAACTGAGTCACTAACCTCAGGGCATGGGGTTGAACTTGCTCAAAAGCCGAGGATTGGGAGTCACTGCTCCTCCTAGAGGTGGTCCCCAAACAGAACCTCCCCCTTTTACAACCACTGCCTATAGAGGCTCTGCCCCAGTCCTTCCAACCTCTGCCCCTGAGGCACCTTTTGGGACTTTGGAGTTGGACACCATGGGAACCCCAAATGATCAGGCCGTATTGCAAGCTATCTTCAACCCCAGCACCCCATTTGGAGATGTCCTTGGGGTGGACCTGGGAGAAGAAGCAGAGCAGGATGAAGATGAGGGTGAGCATTTGACCATGTAATGTAGCTCTTCACAGGCTGACTGCAAAGAGGTGATGTGATAGGGTCCCTGGTTCCACCACCCTTGGATTGATGATGGAGATTGGAGTCAGAGGTTGGATGGTCTTTGGTGTAGGGAGAGGGATTTAGCAAGAGACATTCTACCCAGAGGAGTAAGCCAGGGGTTATCTCTCACCCCTCTAAACTTACACGTCCCTCCGTGATCCAAGCTTAACTGGGCGGGTGGTATTAAACTCCCAAATCTTGTCAAACAGGCAGTGTCACACCCACAGAATGGAAGGCCAAAGTAGTTGAACGGTTCCAATATATATATAGCAAGCAGAGTTAGCACTTGTTAAACAGTATCACAAGCCAGGTGCTAAACTTAAGTCTTCCACAGAACAAGTGCATGTTTCATTGGCCCCTAATGAAGAAGTGCTTGGCCGGGGATTTAGCTCAGTGGTGCCGCCACTTGCCTTGCAAGCTAGAGGACCCGAGTTTGATCCCCAGCACCAAGAAAAAGTGCTTATGTCTTTGTTTTAGACAATGAAGCCTTAGCTTTACTTACTAAAACTTCAAACTAAGAAGCCGAATTACACAATGGAGTGATTTTTACATCCTGGGATGTCATGATGGCCTTTAGGTAGGAGGCAATGTGGTAGAGGAAGAGAACAAGATAAAAAGCCAAAAAGGTCAGTGTTCACATCCCAGCTCTGCAACTTAGCACTGTGTGAAATTGGGCAATTTATTGGCCCGTGCCTTAAGGAGTTGGGGGTTCATACTCATGGACTTGGGGAGCCATTCAGGGACCCTACCCTTTTCCATTCGTCTCAAGTGCTAGCTGCCAGCCTTTGTGATCTCAGCCCCTCCTCTCCCAAGTTTGGGAACTTTGCCCTGCTGAGACTCCCACCCATCAGGTCTGGATTGGGTCTGGAGCTCTTGCTCAACTACGCACGTGTCCCCACTTGCCTTCTTCCCTGGCACAGATGCAGTTTTCCCTCAAGCACAACTGGAGCAGTCCAAGGCCCTGGAGCTGCAGGGGGTGATGGCAGCAGAGGCTGGGGACCTCAGCTCAGCCCTGGAAAGGTTTGGCCAAGCCATCTGCCTGCTTCCGGAGAGAGCTTCAGCCTACAACAACAGGGCCCAGGCCCGGCGGCTCCAGGGGGATGTGGCAGGTGAGGGGAGGTAGGAGCCTCCACAGATGGCACAGAAATAAGGTGGTAACGGGACAGAGAACCACTAAACCCCTCTGGAGCCCATGTTTGTACCTAAAAGTCTGAAATACGGTATAGGACCTGCTAATCTCATGGGACTATGGTGAAAGAAGAGCTTGCATTCCATTCATTTATTGAAAGTACAGTTCATGAGAACCTACTATGTGGCAGTAGTAGGGACACAAAGTACCAAGGGTACAAAGATAAAAAGATTCACTATAGCTAATGTTTATATAGTACTTACTACATGCCAAGTATGATACACTTTACACATAGACTGTAGTAACTCAGTCTCACAGTAACCCTTGAGAAGCTGTGTACTCTTGTTATTACCTCTTTTTTTGTTTTGTTTCATTGTTTTTTTGAGACAGGGTCTGACTGTGTAGTTTAGGCTGACCTGAACTCACTATGTATCCCCGGCTAGCCTGAAACTGACGACAGTCCTCCTGCCTCAGCCTCCTATAGGTGTGCACCACCACACCAGGCTATCCCCGTTTCAAAGATGAAGAAACTGGGGCCAGGGATGTAGCTCAGCAGTACAGTGCCTGCCTGGCAAGCACAAGGTCCTGAGTTCGATTCCTGGTGTCCCAAAAAAATTTTTTTAAAAGATGAAGAAACAAGAATGGATAGGCTAAGTGACTTGCCCACTATCCTCCAGGAGGGCAGTGTCAGAGCTGGGATTTGAACAAGGTGGTAGGGGCTTTAAACCCCATGTGATAACTGCTCCTCAGGGGGCTCAGGATATAGGGGGCAGAGCGATCACATTAGGTTACCAACATAGTACATGTAAGAGGTGGTGGCCTGGGAACCGTTAGTGAAGAGCAAGTTTCAAAGGATGAGTATGAGTTAGCTGAGCCAGTGAGTGGCAGTGGGAGAAGGGAGAGTGTGCACGTACCCAGAAGCCATGTATAGGTCGGAGAACTTCAGATCTCCAGGCTGCTTGGAGCAGGAGGCCTGTGAGAGCTGAGCCTGCAGGACCGGGCAGGGACCAGATGGGGAGAACCTTGGAGTGCCAGGTGGTGAATGGACTCTTGAAAATATAGGGGTGGGGGAGTCATTCAAAGGTTTTAAGGGAAAGTGACTGGCTCTAACTGCATTCGGCTTACTCTGGCTGGAGTGGGCAAAATGGGACAGAAGAAGCGGTTCTGGGGACAAAGCCAGACTTCTGTGTAGGTGTAAACCTTGGAAGCCCAGCAGGGAATACTGATTGTTAGGACTCATGCAGGCTCCTAGGAACGGGAATCCTAGGCTAGAGAATCTGGACTCTATTCTAGAAACAAAAGAGAGAGACACACACACACCGGTGCCTTTTCTAGGTTTGTTTGCCCTGTCCTGCTAAAGACAACCTACAAGCTAAATCCCAGAGAGTGGCAGAGATCATTCCACCCGGAAAGGCTTTGACTAGCCTAGATCTGCCCCACTGAGGAAAACTGAGGTACACTGTAATCAGAGCATCTTTGCAGTCTGGGTAGGGTGGGGAGCAAAGTGGGTCACAGACACAGGAGAGGGAGGCTCTGCCTTGCCCCTGGATAGTTCTAGAGTTCCCCCAAAGGACCTGGCAGGCCCTTTAGAGGGCTAGAGAATGTGAAGTGAAGCAGAACCCCAAAGAATGCAACTGGTTGATGTCCTAGAAGACTAGCTGGCTGCTTGGGTTTCTGAGTTCAAATATCTGAGGCCCAGGGCCAGGGATTTAGCTCAGTGTTTCCAGCACCTGCCTTGCAAGAGCAAGGATTCAAGTTCGATCCCCAGTACCAAAACACGCACACACACACACCCCAAAATATCGTAACCATGGCTCCAAAGAGTGATACCAGCAATAAAGCTAAGAGGAAAACTGTGAGAACCACAGTAGCACTGAAGAAAAAAATCATCGTCAAATTTGTTAAACTTTTGGAAAAATGAATTTATAAGTGTAATTTTGAAGCCTTAGAACTAATTATTTGGTTTTCCATTATTTTTTGTTGTTGTTCCAGGGATCAAACTCAGGACCTTGAACTTATGAGGCAGGCAGTGGCACTGAGCTAAATCCCCAGTCCACAAGAGTATAATTTTGTCCTTTGCTTACAATGTTGTCCAGAAAGGGAAAGGAACAGGCTGGGGTTAGTACAACCTTGGCCAACACTCCCAGAATAAGGAAGTGGGGTGGTCTGTGTGGAGGTAGGGTGGAAAGTTCAGAAAGCAGGTAGCCATATCCTTGTTGGTTAGATTTTGGGTATCGTTAGGGGGTAGAGTGGTATAGAAGATGAGGATTGGTATTTGTCACATTTAGAAGGGGAAATAGCTTCCGGGGGTGTAGCCACTTGATTTAGACCAAGGAAGTGAAACTATGCAGAGGACCTAAAGTTTGGAGAGTAGTTTGGTTATAAATAGGCCCTGTATACAGGCGGGATTAACAAATAATTATCAAAGTTACAGTGGTAAGAGGTGGCCTGGACAGTGTAATATGTGAAGCTAGCTAGTTGGACCCAGCCACTGGCCTCCCCTACAAATACCAGTCCTGAAAACTACCTGGAGTTTGTAGGCATGGCCAGCAAAGGTGCTTGAGTTATTTATTATTTGAGTGACAGTTGACTGGAGAGCCTGTGGGATAGTCAAGCTATTAGGGCTGGCAAGAAGGAAGACAAAAGGGACAGGATGTATAGTGAGGAAAAGTTCAACCCTCAGCCAGCGCCATAACTTAAGAAGTGTAAGTAGCACGCATAAGAAAGCTTGTAAGATTCAAACCATAAATGAGAAATAGAAGTAGGATCAGGCCTTAGGCTTATTAGAAGGCTGGGAGGGCCAACTGTCACCTGAGTGTTATAGAATCAGAAAACATTAATTAATTTTGCTACTTAGCATAGATTTAGATGTTCATCTTTATTCTCTTAAAACATCCAAAGAAAACTGCTATCTAGACAATGAAATAATGGCAAGAAAATGACAGATACATTCCACTCCTCACTTAGAGACCAACTACAAGAAGTCACCTCCCCAACAGGGCACTCTGGAGTGCAAAATATAAACTCAATAGCTTCCTGTATGGAAGAAGAAACTCAAATAGAAAAATACAGACTATTGAAAACAATCCACAAGGAGAACTATACAAAAGACAAATTAGCGGGGCTGGGGATTTAGTTCAGTGGTTCTGGTGACTGCCTCAAAAGCACAAAGACCTGAGTTCGATCCCCAGTACCAAAAAAAAAGACAAATTAGGGCCAGGAATTTAGCTCAGTGGTGCCACTGCCTGCCTCACCAAGTGCAAGGTCCTGAGTTTGATCCCTGGTACCAAAAAACAAAACACAAAAACAACAAAAGACAAATTAGCCAGACATGTAATCACTGGTACTGAGGTTGCCATAAAATTAACTGACAAAACCCTGATGGCTCCATTAACACTCCAGAATTTACTCAGAGAAGTACGAATAATCAAGATTTAAATTATCCAAACATAATACAGTTTTATGAACTCAATGAAACGGAACAAAAACATTCTATTTAATGAGATATGCAAAAAAAAAAAGAAAAAAAAAGGTAAAATGTAAGAGTGTTTGGTTACCCATGGGAAAATGAATGAAAAAGAAGCCAGAGCTAAATTTAGACAGATCCTGTCTGCAGTGCAATCCTGCCACACTAAGGGGATGTCCCTCAGAGACCTAAACACTGAGAGATAGTTAGATGAGGGTATCATCAAGATTTTGGTTAACTACATAGTGAGAACCTGTCTCAAAAAAAAAAAAAAAAGGTAAAATGTAAGAGTGTTTGGTTACCCATGGGAAAATGAATGAAAAAGAAGCCAGAGCTAAATTTAGACAGATCCTGTCTGCAGTGCAATCCTGCCACACTAAGGGGATGTCCCTCAGAGCTAAACACTG